CCCCGCCGTCACCCGCGGCCGCCGCCGCGCCGCCCTGGCCGCGCCCCGCGGCTTCCGGCCGCTCGAACGACGCCGGGCGCCCGCCCCTTGCGCCGCCAGAGCCGCGGGCGGCGGCGGCGGCGTTGGGGGCGCCGCAGGAAGGGGCGGCGCCGGCGGTGCCCCAGGCAGAGTCTGTGCTGGAGTTGGATTCAGTAGAGGAGCGGCCCCCGCTGCCTCCCCCGCCCCCGCCCGGGCCGGGCCCGCCGGCCAGGGGCCGGTCGTCCGCGGGCCGGCGGGGGCTGGTGCGGACGGGGCGCAGGTGGTTGGGGCTGAGGGGCGCGGCGGCGGCGGTTGTGTCTGGCTGGTGTGATGCGCTCCGCTGCGGGGCGCGCGCGTTCAAGGGAAGGTATAGTGCGGGGGATGAGAGTTTGAGTGGGGGGGGCCAATGTGATTGGCATGCTGCGGTAGATATTGCATCCCGGCTTCATCAAAACTGAGGGTTCACAAGGCCTGCAGGGCTTGCACAACACTGTTCACAAGCGGTGGTGCGTTTGGTCGATCCATCGCCCCGAGGACGCATAACGCCACACAACCATGCACGCCTGACAGCAAGCCCACCCCTGACTCGCTTACTGAGCTGACCTGGCCGCAGCGCTCGTCGCAGTGCAGCGGCGGCGCCTCGCTGCTGCCGGCGCTGGAGGAGGGGTTTGATGACGTCATCGTGAAGGGCTTGGCGGTGGGGCTGCGCAGAAGTGGGGCGGGCGGGGCGGGGCGGGCAGTGCGGTGCAATCAGGGACGGGGTCATTGTGTTTAAGAAGAGAGCGCAGGGCGGCCCATGGGCGGAGTACGAAATTGCACGAGGGCCACAGTACAGCAATAGCAGCAGCGAGGCGCAGGGCGGGGGTGGATGGGTGGCCTGGGAGGGAGGCTTCCCACGGAGAAGCCCTGTAGTAGGGGTTTTTCGAAGTGAAATGAACGCGAGGCAAGTGCGGGCCTCCTGAATCCCATTGAATATAGGGTAGCGCAGGCCCCTCAGCCTGAGAGGGAGCTCGAGGCCACCCCCACCTGAGAGGGCTCGTCGCCTTGGGCGGCGGCGGCTGGTTCGCGGCGGTGCCAGCGTTGAAGAGCCGAGAGAACATGGTTGCGGGGCTGGGGGCGGTTCGGGCGGCCTCCCAGGGCGGGCCAGGGGCCGTGACGCTGGCGGTGTGGGGTCACAAGGAGTTGCGGCGGGGCCCGGGGGGGGCGAAGCCGCAGCAGGACTTGACTGGCGGCGGCGCCGCACGGTGGAGCGGGGATCGGCCCTGTTGGGTTGGCGTGTGACGGTTCAGTCGGTGGGCGGTCGCGTCAAGGGGCCCATGAGATGAGTTTTGCAGTCGTGTAGGCGGTGGCGTGCACTTGCAACGGCTCGCGCAAGTGGGTGGAGGCCGAGTCGGTTGAGGGTGGTTGGCGCGACGCGGGGCATGGCGGGCTCGGGGGCAAGACAGCGCGCAGGCGCCTGCAGGGCGGGCAGGATCTCCGACCAAGTGGCGGCACGCGTGGCGGCCGCCACGTCACAGGGTGCCCACCAGGCGGCTGCAGCCGTTGACGTGGGCACCAGCGCAGCGTGTGCAGGTGTAGCTCAAGCACAGCAGCAGTCAGAGCGGGCCACAAAGAGGCACTGAAAATCCTTCAGAGCACCTGCGCGCGAAGGACAGGAGCGCGGGAGCATGGGGACGGCGCGGAATGAATGCGATCAGATCTGTGAGCCAGGCGAGGGTGACTGGGGGTATCGTGAGCACTCCAGCATCGTACAATGACCCTTTCAAGCACAATACAATAGCAGACGGGCTCACGGGCTGGCTGCGAAAGCTCAGCAGGCTTGGCCTGCCACGCAGCCCTCGGCTTGGCAGCAGCTTGTCGCCAGTAACATCACAGAATGTAAAAAGAATATCTGAGGGCCCAAGCGGGCCGCGCTTTCGGCCTAACCCACTGAAGGACGAGGATCAAAGCGCCGGCGTCCCTGAAAATCAGCAAAGGGCTTTGAGTGATATTACTAGCAAGAGAACACAAGACCGAGGATGATTCGGGTGCGGGAGACCTCTGCTAGTAGCCCCTGGAATGGCCTGATGATGCATCAGGTGATGCCGGCGCCTGACACGCACGCATCGCCTGCGGCATCAGGACCGCAATTTTGAAATCTCAGCTATTCATTACACTTCTGCTGCGGCCAGCTGCTCTGCCGAGGCCACCGCCGGCATTTCCTGGATGTCGCGCGCGCCACCCAAACTGCCAAACCTCGGACTCACCTTTGCATGGCTGCCGAGCCCAGGATGACCTCAATGCGATTGACGCATGCCGGCCTGGACTGCCCATCAAGTATAATATAGTTGATCTGTAGCAATTCTCATGTTCACTGTTTGCGGCAAAACGACCATACAAGAGTTGACTGATGTCATGTCTGGTCCATGAAACGGGATTCCAGCTCTAGGCCCCTGGATGAGAGGGGGAATCCAGTCACTGTGGGCTGCCTTCAAGTAGGAAACCCTAGGAGAAGTAGGCAATGTACAATTGTCAACAAGATCAGGCACTTGAGCGCCAGGGCCGCAGGCCTTGGAGGCTACAATACAAAGCCACAAGAGCCCAGGACTTCTGCCCGACATCCCCTGCACAAGGGTTGCAGGGCACGCACAGGCTCAAATGCATGTGCAGAAACAATGTCCGGTCCTTGTTTGCTAGCTCGCAAGACAGGCCATGATCATGAAAATGGGCGTTCAAGTTACACAGCCTCCACTCCACTGAGGGGTACCCCTCCCTGAGTTTGTTTGCCGAACATTCCCATACCTCCAGCCGTCACCATTATTGCACGAAGCAAGCGCCCACGTGCTGACGTCATCTATCCTAAGCAACCGAAAGGAGCCGTGCTAGCGCGGCACCTCTTGCTGCCACTCACGCACCTAGCGCCGGCCGCACTTTGACCGCCTCCTGCTCATGCTGCCCCTGTGGCTCTCAGCTGGCCGAAGCCGGCGTGGCGGCCGCTTCCACCTCAGCTGCCGCCGGCCCATCGCTGCCCCTGGCCGCGTCCTCCTGGTGCTGCGACAGCCCTTGGCCATGCGTCGTGCTCTGAGTGGCACCTGAATGCGCTCCCGGGCTCACTGCTCTGATGCACGCCACGCGCTGCTTGCCCTCTCCTTCCTCCTCATCCTCCTGCTGATGCTGGTGCTCCTGGTGCTGCTGGTCCTGGTTACTCTGCTCGTGCAGCTGCTGCAGCTCCATGGGCTGCTGCAGCTCGGCTTGCTGCTGCAGCTTCTCCTGCTGCTGCAGCTCAGCTTGCTGCTGCAGCTCAGTCTGCTGCTCCTCCTCCTGCAGCTCGCCTTGCTGCTGCAGCTCAGCATGCTGCTCCTGCTGCTGCAGCTCGGCTTGCTGCTGCAGCTCAGCTTGCTGCTCCTGCTGCTGCAGCTCGGCTTGCTGCTGCAGCTCAGCTTGCTGCTCCTCCTGCCGCCGCAGCTCGACTTGTTGCTCCTGCTGCTGCTCCTGGCGCTGCGGCTCTTCCTTCTGCTGCAGCAGCTCAACTTGCTGCCGGTCTGCGTGCTTCTGCTGTTGCTGCTTCTCCTGCTGCTGCTCAAGTTCACCAGCCACTGTCCCGTCCTTGGTCTCTGCAGCTTCACGCACCGCGCCGCTTGCCCTGGCCCCCTCTGTTGGCAGAAGCCGCTCACAACCTGGTGCCAGCGACGCGCCACCCTCATCAGCAGCCCCGCCCACCGGCGCCGCCAGCGGCGCCTGATCAGACGCCACCTGTGCCGTCGTCACAGCTGGCGGCGCCGCCACGGGCACTGGGATGGGAATTGAGGCGAGCAGCTGCGCGCCTGCTGCCGGCGGGGTCCCTGCCGCGCCAGTGCTGCAATCAGCGTAGGCTGCCGTGGGGCCGGCGCCATGCTCAGCGGCGGTTGCGGCTGCGGGCGCGGCGCCCTCTGCGCATCCGGCAGCAGTCTCTGAAGCCGTGTGGTTCCTGGGCGCTTGGAGGCACTCTGATGCGTAGTGCCCCACCTGAGCCGCGGTGAACGGGGCAGCAGGTTGAGAGGTGGGAGCTGATGCAGCAGATTGGAGGCAAGGGCAGCCAACCGCAGCGTAAGGCTGCATCAAGTGGCATGACAACGAACGCGTGGATGCAGGCCAGACGCAGCGGGGCTGACAGTCCGCAGCGCACGCCTCGAGCTTCAAAGCAGTGGGCTGATTTCCTCCCGGGACACTCACCTTGCCACACGCGTCGCACTGCCCGAGAGGGCACTCCTGCTCGCCGTGCTCCGCCGCCACGCCGCACCGCCGGCACGCGCCGCCGCAAGACGCGGCGTCGTGGCCGAATGCGGGGCGCCCGGCGGCGGCACACGCTGGGCACGACGGAACCTGGCAGGCGCGTGCGACATGGCCCCTGCGGGCAGCGAGGTGCGGAAACGGCCCGTGACGAGTAACGCGGGTGAATGGATTCTGTTTTTGGGAATGCCAAGGTTGCCAGCGGCTCAGGGTTGACGTTGTGAGGAAAGGTGGCGAGCTGCACAAAAGCGCCCAAGCACATAGGCCAGCAGGCACAGGGCGTTTACAGGGCGAATCCTTTTCTGAGGCAGCCATGCGGTCGCTTGGGCAACGAGCGACTCCGTGACTGCGCAGCTGCCTGCATTGGATGACTCCGGCGCACTCCTGTCAACACCCCCGCCCCCGCACCTGAAGCCGCAGGTCGCGCAGACTGGCAGGAACACGGGGAACCTCAGCTGGCGTATGGCGCCCCGCCACCCGCGCGGCCGGATGGCGCCCGTGCCCGTCACGTGGACGTTGTTGTTGGTGGCAGGGGCGCCGCCCGCGCCGCCCTCCGCCGCCGCAGAGGCGTCCTCGAAGCCGAGCAGCAGGGAGTTGCTGCCCAGCCGCGCGGCCAGCAGCCGCCCGGCCGCCGCGTCCGATCTGGCGGCGAGCAGCGCGCCCCGCAGCACAGCCGCGACCTCGCCGCTGCTTGCGCCCGGCATGGCGTCCCTGCCCGCCTCCGCCTGCGCCGGCGGCGGCGGCGCCACAGCACCTGAACCCGCCTCTTGGTCGGTCCCCCGATCGCCTGCCACATCCTCCTGCGCCTCCGCCTCCGCCCCTGCTGTTGCGTCCTCATCCCGTTGCGCTACAGCCTCGGCCCCAGCATCATTGACCTCAAGGTCGTCCACGGCGGGCCTCGCCGCAGGCGGTAGGGCGTCCTGCTGAAACGCCGGCGGCCCAGCAGAGCCCTCGGCACCCCCCTGCTTGCCGCCCGCTGCCTCCTCTGGCGGCCCCTCTCCAGCCGGCGGGCGTGCATTCGGCCAGACGGCAGACGCGGTCAATGCCTGCCTGCGCTTCTCTTCCTCACATACCCTGGCGGCCCACCCGCAGCCCATGCGCCGCGCGAACCCGGGCGGCGCGCCCGGCTCGTCGCTGCTGCCGGCGATGCCTCCGCCGGCGCGCTCGTCCGTGGGGCTCCGGGGCGGAGCCACGCCTTTGGGCGGGGCTCCGCTGTTGCCGCCGCTGCCGTTGGTGCACTCCTCAGCCGCCGGGAGTGGCCGCGCCTCCTCTGGTGAAGCAGCTGCGCCGCAATGCGCACCAGGCACGACCATCTTTTCTTGCTCCTGCACGGCCAGTGAAGCCGCGGCTTGCGTGCAAGCTGGCGGCGGCGGCGGCGGCGGCGGCGCAGCCGGCCTGCACTCCTTCGCGGCCTGCTTGGATGATAGCCAGGAGCTGTTGAGGTCCGCCCTCGACGGTGGAGGGCGCGGCGGCTGCGGCGGCCGGGAGGCACGCAAGGCGGGGCGCCCTGCGTCGCCGCCGCTGCTGCGCCGCCAGGGGGTGGCCGCGACGGCGCATGACTCTAGCTGTTGTGGAGGGCGGCGCTGCTGCTGCTGCTGCTGCTGCTGTTGCTGCTGCTGCTGCTGCTGCTGCTGCTGCTGCTGCTGCTGCTTCTGGCATGATGGCACCTGCTGCACTGGCTGCTGCACTGGCTGCTGCACTGGCTGCTGCATTGGCTGCTGCATTGGCTGCTGCATTGGCTGATGCTGAGTCTGCTGCTGAGTCTGCGGCTGTTCCTGCTGCTGCTCCTGCTGAGGTGTTGAGTCCGCCCCCACCGGCGGTAGTGTCGGCCCGGGCAGTTGTGCCGGGAGCGCGAGTGGCGGCGCCGGGACGTGCGGCGGCGGCGGCGGCGGCCCTGCCGGGGGCGCGGGCGGTCGCGGCTTGGGAGGGGGCGGCTGCGCCAGCCGCGGCCCCAAAGGGGGCGGCGGCGGGGGCTGCAGACCCGGTGGAGGTGGCAGAGCTGGATCAACCTTGGGGTGGCTGGACGCCACTGCCTGCGCAGGTGCTTGTGCGTGGAATGTTGCAGCAGCCGCAGCGCCGCCGCCGGCCGATGCGGCGATCGCTGGTTTGAGGGCAGGCACCTGCACGGCCTGGGGCACCGATGTGTGTGGGTAGCTGGGCTGCTGGCTGGTCTGCTGGTCTCGGGATTCAGGCCAGCTGGCCTGCATGCTGAAATGGTTCGGGGCGCTCGACTGCACGGAGCTGCATTGCGGCTGATAGCTTGCTTGCTGGCAGCCAGGCCAACGGCCAGGCGCGACCGCCGCCGGCGCCAGCATTCCGAGCTGCTGCTGCGCGTGCGCCGCGGGGCCTTGCGGCCCCGACGCCGGCGCGCTCAGCGGCGGCAGTGGCGGCGGCGGCGGCAGGCCGAGCAGCTGCAGCAGCTCCGGCGGCGGCGGGGGCAGCTGCAGCTGAGGCGTCGTCGTTTGCGACGGGCCGCAGGGCGGCGCGCCAAAATGATTGGCTTGAGTGTAGCTTGTCGGTGCAGCACCGTGAAAACACTGCTGCGGAATTTGGTAATAGGATGGCGCCGGCGTAGCGGCAGCGGGCGAGAGGCGCGGCTGCTGTGGGGGCTGCGGCTGTGCTTGCGCACGCAGCACCAGTGGCGGTGGGTAGAGTGCCTGTGGGCCACTTGGATGGGCCCGTTGCTGCTCTTGCTGCGGCGGCGCCTGGCCAGGTTGATGCTGCTGCTGCTGCTGGCCAGGTTGCTGCTGCTGCTGCTGCGACTGCTGCTGCTGCTGGCTACGCTGCTGTTGCTGCAGCTGCTGCTGACCGGGATGCTGCAGCTGCGGTTGTGTCTGTGGCTGTATTTGCTCCTGCTGCTGCTGGTGATGGTGATGATGAAGAAGATGGTGATGTTGCTGATCCCCACGTGGGAGCGGCGACTGGCTGTGCGGCTGCGGCTGCGGCCCAGGAAGCGTGGGGTGCTCAAGCGCCAACGCGCTGGGCAGCTGCGGCGGCGGCGCTGGCGCCGCGGACGCGGGCAGTGCCCCCGCTGGCGGCGCCTCCGCCACGGTCTGCTCAATCTGCGCTGTCCGCGCGGCCTCCAGGACTGCCGGCGGCTCGTTGGGCAGCGGGGTCGGTGGCAGGCAGTCTTGTAGGGCGCCGCCCTCCATCAGGAGGGCCATCAACTCACTGCTGCACGTGCTGCTGCCGGCACTGCTGGCCGGCGACACAGGCTGCGCCTGGAGGGACCACTGCGCGTGATGCTGCTGGTGGTGGTGGTGGTGGTACAGCTGGTCGTAGGGCTGCAAGTGCGGCTGCGGCGGTTTCTGCTGTCTTTGCGGCTGCAACAGCAGATGGGCCCTCCACTCGCAATCGCCAACAGCGCCAGCACCCCGGTCCGGCTGCGGCGGGGCTCGCTCGGCCGCCGGGGCCGCGGCTCGCCACTCCCACTCGCCCTCGTGCCCCTTCTGCTGGGGATGCTGATCCTGCGTCTGCTGTGGCTGCCGCTGCTGTGCTGTTGGCTCCGCACTGTCCCAGGGCCGGCACACGTCCACCACTCGTGGCGCGACCATGGTGGCGGCCTGTCCCTTTGCTGCCGCGTCTTCCTCCTGCTCATCAGGCACCTCCGTTTCGCCCTGCCCATTGCCCGTCTCCCAGGCAACCTCATCCGCCTCGCGCCTGCCCGCGTCGTCCCCAGGTGCCGCGTCTTGCTCCTGCTCGCGGCCGCGCTCGCGCTCGGCCAGGGCGCGCCGCAGCGTTGTGCCGATCGACCGGGCCATCTCTTTCACGCGCCTCGGGTCGCTCGGTGGCTCAGGTCCAGGCGCACCGCAGCCGCGGCCGCGGCCGCGGCCCCCTCCGCCGCCGCCGTTGCCGTCGCCGCTCCACTGCTGCTCAAGCCGGCCCCGCGCCGCGGCCGCCGGCTGCGGCACGCCCAGCGCCGCCGCGCCGCCGTCGGCCGTGTTTGTGTCACGCGCGAGCGCCTCCTGCTGGCGGCGCAGCTGCTTCGCGGCCCTGCGCTCTGCCTTCTCTTGGGCCGCGCGCGCGGCCTGCTGCTCGATGAGGCGCGACACACCGGCCGGGGTCTGGGCGCCGGGCACGTCTGAGTACACGACCCTTATCTTGCACTGGGGAGAGAAAGGGCCAGGCGATCCGCCATGCGAGGATTGAGACCAAGCTTACGGCACACTGCCCAGCAGAAGCACTAGGTGCATCCAAAGAGGCCCGCCTTCCCATGCGTGCATCACACTTCCCCATGTGACTGACTACAGTATCCACGCTACACTCCCATGCAAGGTCACCGGCCTTGAACCCCTCCCCATCGAGCCCCGACATGGAGCGGGACCCCCCCCGCCCCCCATCACCTTGTAGCCGCCTAGGTTGACTGTCGAGCCGTCAAGGCGCTCGATGATGGCGGCGGCGTCTTCGGGGGTGCTGCACGCCGCCAGGCCCTTGCCCTGCACACGCGCGGGCGCGGGCAGATCATGCTCCAAATGTCAGCACGCGGCCCTATGGACAAACAGGGGGGCCATGCCCTCACGCCATGCAGCCGGCTGGGCCTCCTCACGCCACCACACTCCATGCATGCCATTGATACCCAACCGTGGCCCCTCGGTCGCCCACATGTCGTGAAGCGGCGCCTGCCCCCTCAGCTCCCCGCCCCATGCGCAAAACCTGCCCAGCCACTGGCGCCGCCAACCGGTTGGCGGCGTCGTGCCGGTGGCCATGACACACGCATTTGTGCGGCTCACCGATTTGAGGGCGCCCCTGTCGTCCATGTATCCCTGGTCCACATACAGCTCGTCCACGCACCCCACGGGCCGCAGGATGTCGGCCAACTGCTGCGCCCCCAGCGCCGGCGGCAGCTTGTAGAGGGCGACAACCTGGCAGCCCTCACCGCCGCTGCCGCGGCCGCGGCCCCGGCCGGCGGCGGCGGCGGCGCCGCCCTTGTCGCCCCGGCCGCGGCCCCCGCCGGGGGCAGCGGGGGCGTCCCCACGGACTGCTCCGCGGCCGCCGCCGCGGACGGGGGCGGGGGGGACGGCGATGTAGCGGGCGGCCGGGGCAGTGGGCGCTGCGTCCCGCGGCGGCGCGGGGGGCCGCAGCTGGTTGAGGCGGTCGATCAAAACGAGGCTGCCGGAGGCGAGGGGTGTGCCGTCGAGGGCCTTCATGGCTTGCAGCGCCGCGGGCCGCGTGAACGTGACCTCGCTCCACGCCTGGGCGTTCGAGGGGGCGAGGCAAAGGAGTCGTGAGGGGCGGGGTCGGGAGTGGGCGCACGCTGCTCACGGCGGCGGAGAAAGCAGGGATCCCCAGTGTGGCGCAGACAGCGTGGATGGGACGCCCTTGAAATGCACAGCATGAGGACCCCCTTGTCCTCATCTTGGGCCCCTCAGAACCGGCAGGTCCCGGGACGCCGCCCGTGGTCGCTGACCCCATATCTCTGGCTGGTGCCCTTGTCGCGCTCCAGGGCGATGACAGGGCCAGCCTGCTGCAGCACCTCCAGCAGCTTGTCGTTGCTGACGCCGGGGGGCACTAGGACCTGAAGCGTCTGCGGGTGTTGCGGGTGGGGCAATGGTTGGGTCTGGCAGCGGGCATCGGCAGGGTGTCTTCCCAGAAGGGGGGTCACAGCAGGTGGCCAGCAAGGTGGCCGGGAAGGTGGCCGGGAAGGCGACTCAAAAGGGGCATGAGAAGAGCAAGCACATGCAGGCATGTCGATTGCTGGAACCAGATACTGCATGAACATCGCAGCCATGGAGGGCGCAAACGCATGCTCATGCTGCGCAGGGCCAGTTTCGCTCGCGCTCCGCTGCGCCGTGCAGCAGAGCAGCGAGGCGCCTGACGAACACATAGGTGCCGAAGATAATCTCACCACATGGTGCCCTATCGCCTTGGATGCACCTGGGCGCGTGAGCATGCGGCGGGATTGAGCGTCCTGAGTCTCGGACTAGATTTTCAGCCTCCGCAGCCATGTATGGCCGTATCATACAAAGCATGTGGAAACCGCTGAGCTTATCACGTTACTATGGTCACCTGCCGTGTCGTCCCCCATGCTCCCACGCAAATGATCAGCGATCAGATCAGCATCTTAAAAACAATCTCCGTGTTTAGAAAACCACCAATAATGGTTTAGAAATATGTAGGTATCATGATTAAGCTAAAGAAGCCACCCGTCGCCCCCATGCTGAGCTGTGCAAACAGGCGAGCAGACACTGATGAGGCACAGCATAACAGGCAACAACTGCCAGTCAGGGAGGTAGATTTACAGCCTTTGCGGGACCCAGCGATTCAAAGCACAAGTTGTAAATACAATCCATGTAGTAAGCAAAGCTGACTGCCTCTAGTGGCCAGATGAACATCCGCCAAACCATAATAGCATGTGCAAACAAATGCACAGGTCAAGGGGTGCTGATGTGTTGCCGAACGCCATCCTGACTTCAGGCGCGCCTGGCGATGCTCTCTGGTGGGACCTGGAACCGCACCAACAGCGGCGCTGCTGATGTCAGCTCGGGCAGCACCTGCATGCAGTGGGCGTAAGGGTGCCGTGGGTTTGCAAGCAAGCCGCGTCGACTTTGACGGGAAGCAGCATGGGGTTTGGTTGGGCCCACCAGCATGATCAGCCATAGTGAGCCCTGCTCAAACGCATGCATGCGTCAATCTCACGCTCAAGAGGCTGCTGGTCGGGTGTGCACAACGCACCTGCATCTCCAGCGCAGCTTTTGCCGCCGCCGCGTGCGCCTCGTGGTGGAAGTTGACAAAAGCATAGGTGCGGCCCGCGAACACACGCACTGACTCAATGGGGCCGAACTTGCGGAATGTGCGCGCCACGGTTTCTGAATCAGCGACCATCACCTGGGCAGAGAAGGGGGGAAGACTGGGTGCTGGTTAGCGAGCGGGTGCTGCAATGGGAGGATCTGGTGCCTTCGGACGGTGTCCAGCCATGAAGTAGCAAGCTTCAAGTGGTGGACCGAAGGGTGCACAGGCGCTGGAGGCGAGTGCGTGGTGTCAAGCAGTAGTGGTGTGGGTAATGAGGGGTAACAGACAGTGGCAGGAGCCAGATAATTGGTGGGGCCATAGGACGATCCTGCGCAGCGCGCAGCGTGCGTGCGGGCGCTCACATTGCCCAACCACAAATTCCGGCTGATGGAGGGCGCTGGGGGTGTTGGGCCTTGGAACACTCCAGTGGAGCCGCTGCCCGCCTCGCCCAGGCCAGAGCCGGTGCAGCCGGGCCGGCCAAAGCCGTTGGCCGCCTCGCAGGAAGCTGCTGCATCCTGCGCGTACTGCATCGCGCTGTGAGCAGCCGCGAGGGACTTTGGCGTAAAGGGCCCCGCGGCAGCGCCGCTCCTCAGCATGCAAGGCGGTGGCGCATGGCCGCCGCTTGCCGCCCAGCCAAACGCCGCCATTGCCATTGCTGCCATTGCGGATGAAGAGGGCGGGCCGTAGACGGGCGCATCTGGGGGCACGACTGAGGGTGTCAGGCTGGAGAGGGGCAGGCCACTGGAGTGCGCCAGGCCCGGCGGAAGCTGCATCAGCGGTTGGGGCACGTAACCCGCGCCGGCGATCGCCGGCGGCAAGGGGCCGCAGCTCCCAAGAGACAGCGGCTGGAGCGAGCCGCCATGCAGCGGCGTGCCGTCCGTCGACGGCAGCGACGGCATGGGCAAGAAGGTATTGTGAGGCAGCATTGGGAGCTGCGAGGGGAGCGGCGCCGGCAACGCAGCCGGCAGCGGCGCCAGCGCTGGCGGCGGTAGAGGCATTGGCAGGCTGTATGTAGCGCTGGAGGGACGCTGAAGGGAGCCTGCAGCAAGCAGTGGTGAGTCGGCAGTCGGGGCAGGAGCCCAGCGTGTTTGCTTGGCGGGCATACAGACCAGGGCGGGCCACCAGGTTATGAGCTTGAGATCAGGCATGGCAAATAGCGCATGGGAGGTGCTGGGCTGCGGCACTGTACGGAATGCTGTTGCATGATGCACATAAAGAGCTTTTCTGACATGCAGGATGCCGGCGACGCCCGCCTGCAGCGTTGATGACACTGCCACGCCGCTTTTCGGGACCTTGCGCACCGCACAAAGGAGCACCTGAGGTGGTGGCCTGCCACGACTGGTCCAGGCCAGCAGATTCTGCGGTGTCGCTCTGCTTCAACGACGCCTCAGTGGCCGCAGCTGCGGCCGCAGCCGCGGCGAGCGCTGCCGCCCCACGCGCAGACAGGTACTCGATGACGCTGCGCGTGTTGCCGCCCACCAGGCGCTTGTCAGTGCGTGGAGCTCCATCCTCCAAGGCAGCGTCGCTGAATCCTCTGTTGGAGCGCATCAGCTTGGCTTGGTGGAGCGCGAGCAGGCCTTTGGTTGTGGCGCAGCCGTTGTCGGCAGCACGCCGCGCGAGCGCGTCGGCGAGCTGCGGGTCGCCGGCGTTGCATTGCGTCGGGGAGATCAGGAGGTGGCGGGGGAGTAGGCCCAGCAGCTCTTCCAGGGAGTCACCCCGTTGGTGCTGCTGCTGGTGCTGGTGCTGGTGCTGCTGGTGTGCGGGATAGGGCTGCTGCACGCCGTTGCTCCAGCCGGAGGGTTCTAGCACCACCTCTGAGGCTGGTGCACCCAGGAGGCCAAGGCCTGCGATGTTGATGAGAATGTTTCACGAGAGACCAAGATCCTGTGTTGATCGGCAGTCCTAGGCCTTGATGGGGCGAGTTGGTGGGAAGCTCGGGCGCTGCGCGCAGCAGCCGATTCAAATCGCAGGGTGCCGCATGGCAAAGTGCGGCCGGCCGTGCTGGATTCAGGAGGCCGCACCGGGCAGCCCAAAGCTTGAAGATGGATCCATACCCCTGTTACGTGTGCGGGCACGCAATAGGCGGGGCTCGCGATCTTGCTGTGGGCAGCTACTTGCGCTGAACCAACAATAAAACGAGAAATAATTGACAGATATGGCAAATCTCTCGGCACTTATTGGTGGCGGTGCGAGTGTGAGCGCTGCTTGAATCGGGCTGCGGTCAGGTTGCGGTCGAGCATGTGCCGCACGGCTCACCTGGTGCCCCACTCAAGCGCCGCACCCGCTGGTGCTTTGCGTGCTAGCAGCCTGAAAGGGCACGGGCCCGTGAAGCCAGACCTAGTGATCACATGAGAAATGTTACAATTGGCTCATGCGTCGCTGCCACGGCCGCCCTGTTCAGGGGCGCCGCCCCCGCCGCCGCCGCCCCCCCGCCTCCGCTGCACAAACCGCCGCCACGCCCCCTGCAGCACGCCCGCCGCGCCCTCCAGCACGGGCTGCTGCAGGCCGCGGTACAGCAGCAGGCGCCGCCCGATCTCGGCGGTGTGCTCGGTGGTGGGGCTGCGCCACAGCCGCGCGTCAGCCAGGTCTTTGGACGGCTCAGCCAGCAGGTAGGGCACGCCCTGCGGAAGAAAGCCGCGAGAGCACCACATCAGCCCCTCTCCTTCTGCCGCTGCGACCCCATCGCCCATGCAAATCGCTTGCGCATGGAGCGCGCCGCATGAGAGTTCAGATATCACCGACAGGCAGCTGATGAGGCATGGCCCCGGCCGCCCCCTGTCTGAAGGTTTAGCAAGGGGCCCGCCGCGCTTGCGCCCGCCCCCGCGGCGCCGCGCCACACCTGCAGCAGCACGAGGGCAGCGTCCTCCAGCCTGCAGAGCCGCTGCTCCAGGCTGCCGCCCGCCACCGGGCTGGAGTCCTGGGGCTCCATGAGGGCGGCCCCGTTAGAGGCCAGCGTCGCTTCCATGAAGGACTGAGTTGGTTTGTGGGGTGGTTTAGTGGGAGCGGGCGGATTGGAAGGAGGGCGTCAGATAGCTTTGTGGATAAGCGGTGGGATGG